ACAGTGCATATTTCTTTATCAAAAATAACCATAAAGTGATATCACCACCATGTCGAAATAGTTGATCGAGATATGCCATAAGTGCATATGTCGAAAAGTCAGTTCTAGTGTACAATAATCGCGTCGAGCTTTTGATTTTTCCAATAGCTGCAAGTGCTTATTCGTATGATAATACAATGTAGCTACTATCAATACTTATTATAATGATTTGCAGTAGACCTTTTCAATGGATTAGAGCAACAAAAAATGTGAAGTAGACATGAGAAATAGGTGAATGCAGATCTATAGAGAAACATATGAAAAAAAATTAAGAAAAATAAACGACAAGAGTCGGAAAAAATTAGAATCATATCACTCAATCTATTTCTTTTCAATTGTTGTCTATCAATGTACGTTTAATTCAGCTTTGATTGAGCATGCAACTCTTATGGAACTGCTCATGCTTGTGGATGACTACACTCTAAAAAACTAGGTTTGTCACCAAATCTCAAGAGTTCTGCACTTTTACACCGAATGATTTAGATTTAGTGAAAGGGAAATTGTTTCGTAGTTACCACACAATACTTTTTTAAGTTTAGAATATTTAAGAGGGTTTCGAAATCTTTAAACAAAACTCTCTGAGAGTTCAGCAAATTGGTATATGATCTTGTACATCATGTACTAAACATTTGATATCCTCGTAAGTTATGAAAGCTTTCGTAATATGTCGACGGAGCCTGCCGTTGTATCGTTGGTGTAGCTAAAGGTTCCATCTTTTTAATAAGAAACAGTTCCAAGTTTTGCATTATTTGTACTGAAATTTTCGGCATTGTATTATTTATCTTAAGGTTTTGTATATTTTGTACGAAATGATTCATAGTTTCGTACACTATTGAAAGTTTTTCTATGATTTTCCTTCAATCACAAACGATTTAACACTAGCTTCAGTGCATATCGTACTGAAGAATATTTCTTCGTACAACAGTATAAAAAGTGCACCAAACCTTACCAATAACATTTATAACAAGGCGAAAATATTCGTTCAGAAATGAGTATGCATTCGTCTCAAGAACGAATCAGAGTAAAGAAATCAAACTACAACAGAATTAGAATTATAATACAAAAAACTTCAAAGTTACTTATTAAACGGAAGAAATAATTAACATAATATAGAGAGCCAGGTGAACAAAATGTCTAATAATCAATAAAATAAAAAATTAAATGTTAGCTATAATTAATAAGTAGGTGTATGTATTTAGAATTGTTGTTTAAATCAGAACAATGTAAGATAGTTAGAGAAGATATAAAAAGGAAGAGCATATGTTCAATATTGTCTTTGTTCCAGATTATTTTCAACGCTATTGAAACAATGATAGAACCGATTATAACTGAAGAGAATTTTAGAAAACAACGAAAAGTTCATAACATTTGAAAAATAATAAAGTTATGTAAAAATATATTTATAATTGTGTCAGTGACAGCAACATGCAGGTTTTAAAACTCAATGATGTAACTGTAATTATTTTAGCGCTAATATCGCACAAAATCAACTATTAAATCATTTCATACTTTTGATTGATTCGTATCGTCATATTACCCATCTGATTGGAAGAAATCTGAAATAGTACTGCATGTTTAAAAAAAACTTGTTAATTTCCTTGCGTATGTTTTTATGTAAAATTTGCTCTTAACCTATAGCTGAGTATTGAAAATGAGAAATACTATCTTCTTTTCACACAGGACTCTGGCTATGAGAGAAATCTTTGATTTTATTAGATGTATTAAAAATTCGAGAAAAGAAACAATGAAAGCTTTTCTATCTTAATCATGAACATCGTTCCGTTAGATTGACGTATTTCTTTCAAAAGATTAATCTATTTCGAAGTTTTTGTAAAAATAAATAGTGTCACATTGATGAAAGAAATAAAGAATGATTATTTGTCAATTTGGAATGCTCTTTTGATAGAAATACATTCGCAATGATAGGTTGTTATGTTTCTATCGGGAGAAAATGTATTTCATTATTTAAAGCTTCATTTTTTAGTTGAATAACCAGATCTAATCATATGATACAAATCGTTAAATTATTTCCATCTTTGAGTCATAAGTATGTCTCAAAGATATTATTTGTGTCTACTTTATCCTTCTCCAAATGGTTTCCAAAATTATTCCACATTATTTACGCACATGCGCAATCAAAACCAAAAATAATTGCCTTTTAGCATCCGGTTTGAATTATGTGTATTATTTTGTGGATCTCGTTATTCTTCTTTTGATAGTTATCGATGCCACATCTGCCGTTGCCGCCTTATTCTAATCGATTCGTTTGATAATAATAATATTGTCTCATCGAATATTGATGATATTTTGGATGAATTGGAAGATGGATTTTTTTTATCCTACTTGTAATAATCAATCAGATTATATTGCTGATTCTGAGTTCTTTATTTATCCAGATGCAGAACTTACTGAAACAGTCCATATATTTCTTAACTTCGATCCAATTTTCTTTCCTTTTATTGATCAAAAACTCAATTTCAACAGACTTGCACGTTTTTATATTCGTTTTCTTCTCGAACTTAGTGAATATTATCTTCTTCCTCAGAAAGTCGTGCAATCCATGTCATCTAACGTCTGTACTTTATTTAATATGATTGTTAAATCGATTAAAACCAAAGCATTATAATCCTTCATGCCTATTATTTAATGTCAACAGTATTTTGACTATTAACCATCATCTGAAATTGTATTAAATACAACTGAAGAACATGCTTTTTATATCCAATTCAAACAAAGCATTTCTTATATGCTTCACAATGGCGAACTGTGGCAGGCTATAATTGATAATATTAGTTCCTAGCAATTCGGTCAGATAAACACGAAGATCTAGTTTTATGCAATTGACAATGTCGATCAGTTAAATCAAATATTTCTCGTCAGACAAACTCAAATGCTTCATTACTTAAATTATACTGAATGAAATAACAATCCAGAATCTAATAGAGCACAAAAAAGATTTACGCAAGTTTACTGCTATAAGTGCTTTATTAAAAAAAGCTATTCAACAACTTCTTTGGATTTATGTAGAAATCGAACAGCGCACATCATCTTTATTTTATGAACTTCATGGTTCATTGAATGACTTTCCACCAGTCAAGAAGCAACAACTAACTTATTCGAATAATATTGGTTTTGCCAGTCATAAATTAGGTCTGTTCTGAGTATTTTCGATCGTATTTCACGATATCATTGATTATCTCATCCTACTCTTGTTATATACTATTTTAGGTGAAATTATCAGTTACATCTATGCTAATCCAATTAGAAAATCATGGTTACCATATCTATACATGAACTATGTAAACACTTTCATTCTCTTATGATCGAATGTTTGCCTGACTATGTTAGACCAAAAGCTCATTTCCTAACTGAATATTATAGTTTTATTGAAAAATATGAACTGTCAATGTTGAATTCTTACATACGTTCTGAAGCTAGACACTTATATTCCAAGCAATTTGCTATTCGTACATTTAACTTTAAAAATTCGCTGTTGACTATCTGGAAACGCCATCAATTACGTCATTGTTTGTTAATCGATTCAAACTCATTCTCTTAGTCATCATCCATGATAATTGGATCGTCTAAATCAATTGAATGGTTTAAACTTTCTCTCCATGTTCGACGTTTCTTGATGGAGTGCGTTAATCAAACTGATTCTATACGTGAATGTGTTTCGATTTATTACCATCATATCAATATTAGACGAAAAGCAGCAATTATCCATCACCCTGTACATATCAAAGAAATTCCTGTATTCTGCCAGATTCATCATTTGTCAAACACCAAGGAAAAATCGATTACCGTAGTCGAATAATTGAATACGATTTATTCTACGATAAATTATGGTCGTATTGAGTTGAATCTACAGGAATGTTGGTCAAAATAAATATAAAACAATCTTTTGATATTTTGTTACATTGTCTCCATACTTATGTAGTTGAACAAGTACACTATATAAATACATTAACTCATCTAATAAAACAATATAAAGAATATTCTCCTGTCTGATATTCATATGGAACGGAGAGAAAGATTCAATTGGATAAGGTTGTTGTCTAGTACATAGTGATGTTGTTCTTTGTTATCTGGCTAGTCTTTTAACTAAAAAATCTATTTCTGTGTTTTAGAGGAAGATATTGATGGTGTAACGTCGGTTTTACTTCAACACAATGATATTATCCATATATTTCCTCGAACTCAAAGATTGTGTAGAATTTATTGATGTGCGCATGACATTAATCTCAAAATTAAATGAATAACATGAAAATGGTGATGAAACTACAGGCAATTTATTTGAAGTAGCATTATCATCATCATCATTGAAGTCTCATGATGATAATGATGAGGTTTATACTAAAGCAATGTTGTGTGTAGATTATGAAGATCCACAGTTAGCTACAAGAATGCAATAATACATTGATGATAATAATATTTGAAAATTTAATTATCGCTTCTCTTTGATGATGTAACCAAATCACGTCAGCTGCTATCAGTCATTATTCGCAATGACATTTTTTATATTTTCATTTTTCTGAATTTAGTTATTCAACTAATGATAAGTATATGACTATGACCAAATGAATAGTAAAGAAATTATTTATTCTTCCACTAATAGTGTACCAAACTATAGTTAGAAAAAACAAATGACTTGTTTGAATATTTTTTTCTTTTTTCTATAAAGATTGGCACGAATCGATAAAACAAAAGTTTAAACATGACCACAAGCCATCCCAAATGAGTAATAATTTTGTGGGAGTTAAACAAACGGAAGATGAAAAAAAAAGTGCGATTATACAAATTGAACGTTGAATTAATAATATTGTGTGACTTTATATGATACATTATATCATTTTTGTAGCCAATGATCAATTTAGCTTATCAGCAAAATGAAAATTTGTTATTCATAGTCAATCAAATGGAAATGAAATCAGTTACTTAAAGATGATCCTAATAATGATATGCTTCATAATTCTTGGAGACAATCATTTAACATTCGTCACTTATGCATTCGTGAACTAACAATAGATGAAGTACTCAAGCGTTTTACTGATTATCGTCGTCCAGCAATGGTAAGAGCTGTCGATCATAATTTGCTAAAAATGTTTTTCTTTCTATACAAGCTAATATGCAGACAATCAATTTTTCGTAGAAGATAACTAGTATTTTTTTCATAATATCAGTGTGAAGACCTTAAGTAACCTTTCTTCGACTTGTTTTCACAAATACGATAAGCACTGCCTATTCATCTTTAAAACAATAAAAACAGTTTATTCTAAATTTGTATTAAAACGGCTTGTTTTAATGAGTAAGAGTCTTTTTGTTGACAATATCTCGTGACTTTAATCAAGTTACACCTTAAAAGAATATTTTAATATTTTTTAGCTAAAGATAGTTGTCCCTCATAATGCTCTTAAGATAATAGCTAATTTTTGGAAATTTTTCTATTCATTGACATTATCATTGAAAGTAATTGTATACTCTCATTGTAAAAATCAGCATCAATATATTTTTATGAAACAATTCTACCAAATAATGTGTTAAACTGTCGTTTCAGGCAAAGTTTTCAAAGAAAGTTAAAATATTATATCTTTTGTCTCATTTTAGCTATTTAACTCATTCGAATTATTCATATAGTGTGCAACTTGTTTGCTAATTCAGTTGGTAATATTTTTACGTGTGATATCAACTATCTGGTCATTTTTTGATTATAAAATATATTTTTCAACTTTATACGTAGGATACATTTGTATCTTATCCATATATGAAAATTCTTGATGATAAATTTGAGTTCTATCTTGACTTCCATCTCGTCGCCGAAACTACCTCATGTTCAACAACTTTTGCTCTACTTCTATCATCTCACATTATCTTAATAAAGCACTCAGATGCTTTGTCAACAATGGAAAATATAAAATTATGAATCGACCACTTATTAAACGACAAGCAGTAGTTACGAATCTGGTGAAGAATTTTACTCAAGCTTCAATTATGAGTGAAAACATCTTATCTCCATCTAACATTTCATATCAGATAAGTTTCTTAATCTAATTTAGTAGTAAAAAAACCATTTCAAGATTGTAATTTTAGCGGAATATTAATAGTATATCTTCTCATGTAAATATCTAGGCATAAATCGGAGCTAGGAGGCATATTAACTATGTGTCTCCTTATGGATAGAAATCATTGAAAAAAAGATATATTGTATGATTCAAAAAATTTTTTGCGAAAGAGTATGAGATCTTCCAAAATAATTTCTTTCAATATTCTTTCTTTTCAAAAATTTTTCACAATATCACATTTTTATAAAGCATTTACAAAGTGATTTTCTAACGTTCTTGAGTGTACAATATGAGTAGTTAGTCAAGACGTTCTATTTGAAAAAGGAAAACCCAAATTTTGAGATTTTGTTATATCATCCTACTATGCATAATTGAGATTTATGTTTGCTATTTTGTTTTAGATTGTTGATGCATCACTTAAACAATCTCACCATGATCAATCTTCTTCGCTCAATATTAATCAAGAATTCGTTAATGAATCTGAAGATGATGATGAATATAATTATAATCATTTATCAATTACTTCTCTGTCAGTTTGTACATCTCAAACTAACTCACTAATCATTCTTCGAAATGAATCAATAGTAGAATTGACTATCGATCAACCCTGCTATAATTCGAACTTCACAGGATCAAATGAAATTTCTTCTTCTGAAAAATTATCATTGACACAACAACATGAAGATGAACTTGATACAACTAAAGAAGACAAAGAACCTTGTTCAATTGTTAAACAAAAACGTACGAAGCATTAGAGTTCGTCGTCATCCATCATCATATCAAAACAATCCGTGAGGATTTCAGCTAAATGAGTTTGGGTGAAATCAATTATATTTGATGGACGACATTTGTTTATTTTCTTCCTACTTTCTGCACGTAATTATCGTTCCTAAGTTTTGTCATTGATTTTATATTTCATATTTTTTTAATATTTCTATATGATACCAAAGAAGAAAGAAATTTTTTTATTTTTAAAAGAAAAATTTTCAATACAAGTGTTATTTTATACATCTAACCTAGGAATTCGAAGTTTTAAAATAGTGGTGAATATTCATGCAAAACCACATTCATTAGCCTGATCGACTCAATCTCATGCTTCATCGATCAAAAATATATGATGGACCATATTCTTTATCTTTTCGAAAGAGTAGTAAGTATTACATTTAAATACCCAGTACATTTTTTTTCAGTTAGGTCAACCCAAACAACGGGTTCACAATCTTTTTTTTTCATAAACGAGAATAAAAATGGTGTTCCTTCTAAAGATTCAATACAAAACCTTGTCTTCGAAACCTATTTTTCAGTTTGGTGAAAAGCTTTGGTATTATAATTCTGCTACGAAAAATTTTTCACCTGTTTGAAACGAGTTTAGTATGACACGTCTTTTTTCTACCAAACCTGTTTTTTGAGTATAGACCAGGAGCACTTCAAAGCTATCGCACACATATTTATTGTGTACAAAGCAGAAAAGAAAAAGAAAAATATCATCATTTCATTCGGAGGTGTACACATTAACACTGTCAAAAAATATGTTTCTCAATATCTATCAATGATCATCCTTATCCATGACAAACACGAGTCATTCGACACAGTCAGACAAGGTAGAATAATAACTCAATAGAGATACGCACGTGACTATATATATTGAATCGTAATAAAAGAGACAAACTTCGATCAGCCATGACTAGTATGACAGTATGCGTTCGCTCATGACGAAATGAAATAATATTTCATTCTATTACACGATCAAATGACAGCATAAGGTAATACATGACGGTTAAAAACGATAATAAATCTGGTCGATCTGCTCTTTTTTCTAGAATCGCTTGTATCAGTGAGCTACAGTGGTTGAAGTATATTAATATTTCTTAACAGAGACTTTCCGTGAAGGTAATTCAATTACTATTCTTGTGCTTTCTCTTCTAATATTTTATACTAAAGATTTTTGGCACACAAGATACAAGACGACAATGTTATGTGCTACTCTTAGTAGACTTGTTCTAAGAACAAAGCATAGGTACGTATATGTAGAACATAATCTTTTTTTTATTTTCTTTAAATCAAAGAATCACTTCTATCAGTATATAGAGACTCATATTTATATATAACACCAAAAGAGAAGAAAGAGAGAAAGAAAAGATGAACATATGGATATAGTATAGACGGCGTATCACAACAGATAAGACTAGGGAATCCTATTCTATCATGATTTAACTCAAGGAATCATTCTGCGTATAAGCTGAGCTCATGAGAACGATAAAACATAATCCCGACAAAAGTTTTTGTGCCTAGCATCTTAAAAATCTGTTGAATTTTTGATTTAATCTTCTCAATATTTTTCTAGAACGGCACCGATCATTCAGCGCATTTCCTTGCTGTTGCTTATAGGATGGTGTTTGATGGTTTTAATCAGTCTCATATTCATGGTTTTGCCAAGGCAAGATGATAATCGTAGCATTTTAGTTGATAATTCAGGTATAGAAAGAGATAACTGGAATCTTTCTATTTGGTTTTACTGTTTAAGTTTCGGCCTTTTTCACTATCAACTATAATTCGACAATACGAAGCAACGGTTCGTTAGTTGTTTCAGATTTGCAAGGACTTTCAGAACAGGTAAAGGCATAAATATTGGTTTGAATGGATTTGATCAGATCTTTTCATTTAAAGATCGCCAAAGCATATAGCTTGTCTGTTAATATAATTCGCGTGCACTCGGCTATATTTGTACAAAGCCTCATTGTGACCAAACAAAAACGACAAACGTAGGTACTTTTCTATATCTTAAACTTTCTAATATTCAAGTATACCTTATTATACTACCAATTCATCCAATCCTGTAGTTATTCATGAGTTTTATGAGAAAATATCAACAGTTGATTTTCTTTCTTTTTCGTTTTATGAAAACACAGAAAGGTCATTCAAAATAGGTTTCGTGTAGTCATCGACCAATGTGTCATAAGATGCATTTTTTGTTTTGATCTTTCATGTCAAGTTTGAAAAATCGTTGTGTGTACATGCCAAACCAATAAGATTACAGCTTAAGCTTATTCAATCGTGTCTTATGTATACTACAAAATTGAAAACTTGTTGTTAAACTACATAGTATTCATTGGTGTGAATTTAGCACTTTTTGTATCGAATCGGAGAGACAATCAGAATAAAACGATACTTTGTAGATTCTCGATCACCTTGTTTTTCAGTTTTTTTTAGAGTCAAAGTGTCGGAACTATTGTGATTTATATAGACGCATACATATTCTCAAAGTCCGTAGCAAATTATATCTTTTAGATATGAATCAAAGAAGTGTCTAGATCCAAGCTAAGATTTGTAGTATGAATATGACAACCACATACTTCATACAAAGAATGCAATTTTCATCCATACTACTGTCCATTTTTGATCTTTGTAGAACAGGATTAAGCAAAATCAAATGTCTGTTTTTTCAGTTACTGAAATTCAATCGCATAAACATCATGAAACTTTTTCAAAGAATCTTTTAGGAGCATTGTAGTGGTTGCGTTTAGAAAACCTAGAACGAAACGTAGAGGCCATGTGCAACCGTATTTTAGCGTATTACATAAACCAATATTACGATCATATATTTTGTGTTCGATCACCATCGTACAGCACTCTCAATGTTAGGAATTATGGTGTGAAAATTTTCTAGATTTTGTATTGACTGTAGGAAACCTTGATGGATACAGTGTTTTATAAGCCATTTTTTTATTCTCTCCAGAAAATCGTTACGGTTTTGTATTTTCTCAGTGAAACATATCTCGGTTACTTGCTTCTCTTCAGAATCTATCGACCAAAAAGAAACGAGTGTTTTTTAATTTTGCTAGTTTTTATGAAACTTCGCTGTAGGTTATCAGCGTTCAAGGACTCGAATTTGAGATCGAGTTTTGAAAACTGTTGTATATCGATTGTTTTTGTAGTGTATCTGCATGCTCTCGTGGCTTTTGAACTTGAAAGTAGAATACATTTCGAGCAACATCTTTTGTTTGGGTCTAATGAAAATGCTTTTCGATTATTCTCTCAGATAGTAAAATTCACTAAGTACTATGCTTTAGATACATTAGAATGGGGTTAGTTGTTGCGACTCTAATTAAAATGTGACAAAGTGTGTTATGGTGAAAGTAATAGTCTGTAATATGTACCGTGATATTTTGCTTTTCTCTACACTTTACTAGGCAATAACAATGTCATAGGTGTCGAGTGGGAATGAGGATGTGCCTTTGGTTGAGGATAGGGATGATGGTGTAGATGAAGAGGATATTCAGAGCGACACTGGACATTCACAACCTTAAGTCCAGTCTTTTCCAGTTCTGGCATTAAAATTGTCAATGATTTTAACTTCCTCTCACTAAATTGCATCGTGTGAAATCCTCATATATTATTAAAATGGCTTTCAAACTTTCTTTCAAATGTGTTTTCCATCCATAATCCTGCATGCGAAGAAAGAAAAGATATTTTATCCGTTTCACTTCTCGAAACGCCTTTTAAGTTTTGTATCGTACTTTTCCTCTCTTTCAGCGTAACTTTTGTAAATGTATGAGAAGATTTTTGACTATTTTTCCGACTCGTCCATTTAAAAAATCTGGCATAACAAAGAAATTGGCATACATACTCGAAAGACTGTTAAAATCTATTACGCGATGATAAAAAATTGTTGTAGATTTTATGACATACTTTATTTTGTTTTAGCGTATCAGACAACGATTGGCTGGTACACGAAAATGGCGATCTGTTTGTAGTTACGTGCGAAGTTGCATATCCCATCAAATGCGGTGGTATAAAAACATGTAACGATCGGTTCATGTCTATTGTGTTCAGAACGATTAGATCTGGTCCACCAGAATTATCATTCTTTATATCATTCACCATAGGGCTCACATTAAATGTCAGACTCATATTTATATCAATAAACGAGACAATCGTGACAACGCCAATAAGCATCATAACAACAAGTAGTGCGTATTTACTCTTTACTTGTACTAGAGAAGGCTCTTGCTTTATTTGAATAAGGTGCATTAACGTACAACTGGCACCGGTGTAGAACTTTTTATTTTTTCCACCTATCCCCCACTCAAAGAAAAACTAATCTGACGTAATATTTATTTTTTTCATAGCTCCTTACGTTTCAACCGATATTCTGAGTCTAGAGCTCATTATTGCATATATCCGCAATTGAAGATATATATATCCACATCTAATTTGTTTTCCGGTGCTACAGATTGTGATAATTTAAGCAAAACATCTCAGTGTTAATAGTAGAAAACAGAAAAATAATGTGGTGCATGCGTCGTAAAACACGATACTCTCTACGACATGTTGTATTGCGATACATACTTTCGACTACAGTATGTTTCACATTGTTACTACGACAAGTTTTTGTACAACATCAAGTACTGTCCAGCGTTTGAAAAATAAAGAATGTCTATATATTCTTATTTCATTTTATTTTTACATTCACTTGTCAGATTGACCCATCTATATGCTCACACTATTGTGTAAATTTTCAGAAAACAAATATTTAAATAATTAGTCAAACTTTTAGCAGTGCTGTATAAGGCTACAGAATATAACTATGAATCAAAATTAATTGTGAGATATACTCCTTTATTGAGAGATCCCTTCCCTCACATGTTACCATAATAAAACATCTCTACTTTTCAAATTTTGGTGTTTGTTGAAGATGGAAGTTGTGTGACATTTATAGCTACTTGGAAAGTAAAAGATGTTTTAGAATACTTGT